CTGAGGCTGAATGAGGCAATGTTTCACCTGCTTGTTTCAGCTTTCCCACTGTAAACAAGTGTGCTTTTCACAGTCTGTTTAGTGCCACATTTCTCACACTTTCTTACTTTGTGTGTGTGTGTGATTTTGCTGTTTAAAAGGGCCCCCAAACATAGCGCTGAAATGCTGCCTAGAGTTCCTCAGTGAAGGACGGCAGTGATGTGTCTAAGAAAGCATGTGTGTTAGGTAAACTTCATTCAGGCATGAGTTACAGGGCTGTTGGCCGTGAATTCAATGTTCACGAATCAACCATATATATTAAATAAGGTGTCTTTATATGTTTAAAGTGTATTTATTTGAGTGAGAGAGCACCTGAAAGCAGGAGCAGGGTAGGGGCAGAGAAGACAGGGAGGTCGAATCCCAAGCAGGTTTCTCCGTGCTGTCAGCGCAGAGCCTAATGCGGGGCTCGATCCCACAAATGGGGGGATCATGACCTGAGCAAAAACCAAGAGTCGGACGCTTAACCGACAGAGCCACCCAGGCGTTTTTAAACTGAAATGAGCCTCAAATAAGGTTTTGTATTGAGAAGTTGAGGAAAACGTGACCAGATACTTACAGGAACCCAAACATGAATTTCCCCCAGAGCAAGGGTTCCATATTTGTTCCTTCCAGGTTTGCTGTGACCTTATACAACACAACTTGTGTGAGTAAGAATTGACTGTTAGAAGGAAACACATCCTACTCACAGTGGTAGTTGGTTTTGAGGACCGAGTAGGGGAAGGAGCTAGCACTATGAAGCTTTGGTCAATTTGAAAAAAAAAAAAAATGTTACGGATTTAGAGTCACAAGACGCTGTTGTTGGAAATGCTGGCGCATGACAATTTATTTCCGTCTGGCACCTGATGCCATGTCACAGCCAGATTATAAAGCCACATTTCTGTGCCAGTAAGGAGTGACCACCTGTAGCTTAAAATCCCTCAAATGGATGTAATGAGATATTTAGCTATTCTGCCCCAAGACAAAGCAACCAGGTTAACAGGAAGCTGTATTTCCCCCCTAATGATTTCAACAATAATGTAAGTATAATCTCCAAATCCCTCAGTCTCCCATGTAAGATGAGTAGTATTTGCCACATGATAAGGATGAAGTGACCTGAAATCCCTAAGGGGGGGGGAGACATTTGTTTCAATGCAAAATGTTTTAAGTAAACTAAGTAAAAGGACACTGGGAGATGCTGTCATTCAGTTAATGAGAAGCAACGCCATTTACACAGCCGTAGCTCCGGTCTAAAAGATGAATGAACTTACGCCAAGAGTTTAATAAATATACAAAAGTTTGCTCAAATACTAGTATATTCACCTTTTTTTTTTAATAATGAGAAAGAAAAAAAACAATGAAATAATGAAAAGTATTTCAAGAGCTGTCCTTCCATATTAAATTACAGAAGAGCCTCGACGAACCAGAACAAAGGGAAGGGTCACGGAATTTCATCATCTACAGTTTCTGATTGGTTAGGGCTTAAGCAGAAATGCCTTGTCCGGCAGTGACATTCCTACAATGTATCGTACAATACTTGGTTGCCCGGGCATAAAATGCTGCTACTAATAATCCATCTAATATTTTTGAACATCCGCCTTAGAACTGGTGCTGTCCAATGCTTTTTTACTCACTTATTCCTCAAAGTGGCAAAGTGAAGTCAGGACTCTGGACTCAGGACCCATTTTCACTGACGCAGAAACGGAGGCACAAAGAGATGACGTAGAACTAATGCAGTCCCAGGTGACTGAAATGCTTTCAACGCTTTCTAAAATCATACTGAACTTCAATGATGCTATAATTCTCTGGGACAGTGAAGGTACAACAGTGAGTTGAAATCTGTTTCCATCCTGGGTCATGGTGTCGACTTTAGTAAATTTCTGGCATTTAGAATGCTTCATCGTCATTTGTTTCCAAGTTTCAGAGGAAGATTGGGAAGTGGCTAAGTACCAATACCAAGTAATACCAGTTATCTCTTTTAATGGTTTCTTACTATGGGATAGCTGCCCACATTGCTGTACTTCCGGTAAAAACCAGGCCTTTGCAAATTAGGGGAGAGGGCTTTGATCTCGTGCCACTTATTACCGGGCAGTGTATGGCACAATGATCTGCCTTATGAAAGTAATATGCTTACAGGTTGGGCTGAGGGTCCAACCACATTCCAGACGGCTTCAATGGCTCTTTAATGAACACTCCTACCTCATGCAAAGTTTAGTCTTTTTTCTTTAGGAAGCTTACTTACCTTTTCATAAACTTTGTAATGACAAAAATGACCTCCAGTTCAAGATAGCTCCTTCTTATCATTGACCATGGGAGTCAAAGGGCTTGACTTTTAATTCCAATTCCTTTAAACAGCTGAGGCCTGCTGAGACCCAATCATCTTGCTGTCACTGGTATATTAACAGCGTTTTCATATCACAGCTCACCATTGCTTTTACAGTCATCTTATTGTTTCTCTGGGCACCAAGTCACCTATCTATTCCTGAAAAATAGAGTTTGTACGCTACCGTAGAAATGGCAATTAAAAACCACTGAACGAGGACAGATAGACTTCAAGCTCATGTTTCATTGTCATCGATCACAACTGCTGTAGAAAACCACAGCGGATCATTATGAAAGCGTATAAAATATTTGGAAACTCCGACCATAAAACATCTCCATTAGCAAGTGGGTTTATTGACATAACTGAACATAACAACATATAACATTTATTCATTTCCCACCGAAAGACTTTCCAGTCGAACTGTTTTCACATAGCTTTTACTGTTTTTCCGTGAAGTATTTTCAGTGATGTTCTGCTACGAAAGGGTGGGTGGTGGGAAGGTCCAGAGGTCTTTTCCAGACTTTCAGTGGGGCTCAATATTTCACTGCTGTGCAAAGGAACAGCTAAAAGATGCCATCACTGTACAAATGAACAAAACTAGGGGCACCAGGGGTGCAAAATAGCCCGGAGGTTGCAAAACAGAGTGAACGACTCCTCTCCTGCGTACTAATAGGCTCGGGATCGGTCACAAGCCTCGGCAGCAGAGTAAGAATGACAGCCTCTTTCCTGTGGTTGGTCAAGTTTGGGCCCCACAGATACGACTATCAGAGAAGCAGCTGTACTTTAAGTGGTCTGGACATTCACTCATCTGAACATGAACACAGATCAGTTCATTTAGATGCCTGGGTCCCTGCTCAGCTGCTGGGCCAAGGGCAGGTTTGGCTCAACGGACCAAACATAAAAGGAGAGCCCTGGGGAAGGACCCCCGGTCTAGGATAGATTCCCTGAGTCATCAGGACCATCAGGGGCATAAGGCCCTAAATAGAAGATTCGCTGTTAGCCTTAGCACCATTGTAGTCGCCTCCACGGCACCCCACTGCCAATAAATCCATAACCATGGACAGTATAACCGTGCAGATCTTCTCTGGGACCGCTTTTTTAGACCACACACAAAACTGCTAATGTAAACCAAAGCACTACGGTTAGCGATAAACATGTACTTCATAAATATCAGGGGACCAAAGTGTCCCAAATAGTTGAAAACGACGGAGGAGCAAATAAAGGAGCCTAATTCTAAATTTAAAGCAAAACAACATTTTAAAAGAAATACTGCAATTAGTAACTAAACGATAAGATTTAATAACGTGGTACAACACTGGGTAGTGGAGGGATTAACTCGCAAAATATATAATTATTTCACAGTGAGGTTTAAGTACTCCTAACAACCTTCTGGCTTTAGTAGAAACAGACAACCACTGATGTATACTTTTTCACATTTTTCCCGATAATTTCTTCCTCTCTATTCTATATAGAGTAAGACATTGCTGTGATTGAGCGTCACACTATCAATTGACCATCACCTTTTGCTTCCTTGCTATTAGGAAATTACCTTTATCACTTAACTGTGCAACCCCAGAGAAGCAGGGCACCCTCAACTGCGTGTCACTGATAAAAACACAAGAAGTACCACATCGTATTCATTCCAATCTGGACACATTGTCAGAGATGCGGTTACGTGAACTAGAAGGCTGCCCTTCCCTGCGGGGTCATTGGTTACGCACGCGTTAGTTAACATTCTTTTATCAAGTTCTGGCACTGAAATTTCCTTCTGCATATACAGGTTCAGAAAAACAAAATTAAAAAGCCACAGGAGCAACCCTGACAGAGAAGTCTTGCGCGCAGCCTTCTCCTGAGAAAGTAGGTCACCTTAGTTAACCCCAAGGTCAGCGAATGTTCTTGCGGTGTTAATGTTAAAAAGAAAATACTAGTTGAACCACTCAGCTCAACTAAAACAGTCCTTGAGTTTATTGTCAGTTTGTTACATGGCAGAGATCTTCACATTCCTGAAAGAAAAAAAAAATAGCGTCTCTGATTATTTAAACATTAAATTATCCTGAATGTTCTATTAACCAACATGAAAGAGTTCCTTGGTGAGTGTGTTAAACTTTACCACCTGTTTACAACATCACCTTCTTGGCCGAGACCGCCAGACCAGTGCAGTCAAGTTGCCAAGCCTCCTTTGTAATACTAAATAAGTTCCTTTTTTCCTTAAATAGAACAAAACTCTCGTTTCACATTGAACAAACAAAGAGCATGCACCCAAATCTCTTTCTGGCCACACTGGGGGCAAAAGCACCCTTTTCTACCCCAAAAGGGGACAGGCTCTTGTATCGCAGTGCTACAAAGGCCATTGCCACAGCTGTGCCAAGGTCTCCCTGTAGAAGAAGGCTTCCCCCCGTCTGAGCTCCATCATCCATTTGTCCCCTACTCTTGGCCTTGACCAAGTACCACCCATTCACTTCATGAGCGGGTACTGGGAACTGGGGGTGGCGAGGGGTTGCCGAATCGGCTTTCCCTTTGACTCGTCTGGCAAATGCACAAAAGGGGGAAAGGAGAAACTCTGATAAAATGAGATCTCCCCTTGAGGTGGGTTGAGGGGTTCCATGGAAAGTGGCTCCTCAAGGCCAAAGAGAAGGTTTCCACAACCTCGGAGGCTCTGGATCTAGTCAGCAAATCGCTGCAGAAGATGATCTTCCCGTCTCAAGCTGCCACCTGTGCCGCCGCCGCCGCTGTCCATGAAGCGGTCGCAGGGGAACTCGATGAGGTCCGCCTCGCTGAGAGCACACACGGTGGTGCGCGGACGGTGGGACTGGAATCCAGAGAAGTCGGCGGACACCCCGGTGCCCATAGAGCGCAGGGGACGTCGGGTGGAATACATGTGTCTAACATGCACAGGGGCCCCACCCTTCCGCCTAGCCCGCAGCTTCCTCCGCAGCCAGCGTGACGCCCAGGCCGCCAAGGCCAGGAGCACCAGCAGTGCGTTGACGGCCAGCAAGACCAAGGTCAGCAGCTGGTAATCTACGCTGCTCCGGCTCCCAGGCTCTGGCAGGGTGACCAGCCCAGCGCAATGGTCACGGGGGGCCACCGGGCAGACCCGACCCCCGAGGACCCCCTCGACGCACACCAGGTAGGGTGTGTCTCCGCGCAGCTCGCGCAATGTGGCCGAGTCGCTGCGCTCTGGCAGGTAGACAAAGCGGTGGAACTTAGGCTGCTGGCCAAAGCGGTCGAAGAGCAGACGAAAGCGCGCGCCGCCCAGCGGCGGGGGGCTGCGGTGCTGGCGCACGGCCCAGCGCACCGAGGCGCTGTCGGCGCCCACCGCCTCCACCGTCAGGTTGCACAGGATGAACTTGTTGAAGTCGCACGGGTCAGACACCAGCGGCGGCAGGCCGACCCCGCCGTCGGACTGGGCGGTGCTCTCCTGCTGCTGCGCTGCCAGACGCTGCTTTGCCGCGCGCTGCCAGGGGTCGCCAGCGGACGATGGCGCAGAGACGGGTGCGGCCGTCGGGGTGGGCTCCGCATGGGCAGCATCTGCAGGAGTCGGAGGTCCCCGTTCGGGCTTCTGAAGCAGGTCCAGAGGGTGTGGCGCCGGGTCCGCGGCAGCAGCGGCGGAGGGGCCCGGCTGCTGGAGGCCCGGGCCCCGTCGGCTCAGCCTCAGAGCGCTGCGGTTGCCCAAAAGCTCCCTGGCGGCCCCATCCCAGACCACCCCAGGCAGAAATCGCCCGCGCTGCTGTGGCTGCGGCTGCGGCTGCGGCGGCAGCTCCTCCGCGAGGCCACCTGCAGGGGGCGCCACCTCCTCCCCGGCGGCTGTGGGCAAGGGCCTCCGCAGCCCTTCCACGGTCGGGGAAACTGAGGACGAGGGACTCGCACAAGACCCGTTCTGCAGCTGCTGGTCATCCAGGTAATCCAGGTACTTGCCCCGCAAGGCCGGGGGGTGGCGACACTGCACGAAGACCGTGAGAAGACGGCCTTGTGAGTGCCAGTCGCCCATCCAGCGCTTCAGGCCCCGCAGACGGCAGTCGCAGGTCCAGCCATTGCCGTCTAGATCCAGCCGGTAGAGGGCCGGGCTGGCAGCGAAGATGTCCCCGGAGAGAGCGCTGAGCGCGTTGTCGCGCAGGCTGAGCTCGCGCAGCCGGCCCAGGTGGCCAAAGGTAGTGGGGTGCAGAGCTGACAGCGCGTTCCCGCTAAGGTCCAGCGCCTCCAGGCTGTGCAGAGGCTCCAGCAGCTCCACGGGCAGTTGGCTCAGCCGATTCCCCTCCAGGCGCAGCTCGCGTAGGGCCTCCAACCCCCAAAAGGCCTCCGGCGCGAGGTGTGAGAGCTGGTTGCCCCTGAGGGAGAGTAGGCCGAGACGAGGCAGGTGCTGGAAGACGCGCGGCCCGAGGTGCTGGAGGCTGTTGGCCGAGAGGATGAGGGTGGAGAGGGAGCGCAGCGGTGCGAAGGTGGCTGCATGGCGCAGGGAGGGCTGCAGCTCGTTGGCAGAGAGGTTGAGGAAGCGCAGTTTGCCCAACTGGGCAAAGGCGTTCTTGCCCAGAAAGCGGATCCGGTTGGACTCCAGATGTAGGTAAAGCAAGTTGCCCAAGGGGGCGAAGACCGCGTCCGGCAGCGCCCCCAGGGCGTTCCCGTCCAGCCTCAGCTTGACCAGACTCTCCAGGCCCTCGAAGGAGCCGCGGCTTAGGCGGCCGATCTCGTTCCCGTTGGCGTAGAGGATGCGCAGCTTGCGCAGCGGGGCCAGAGTGCCCGGGACGAGCGCCTGCAGGAGGTTGTTCCCCAGGTAGAGCTCCTCCAGCCGCGAGAGCTTCTCGAAGGTCTTGGGGTGCAGAGCGCGAATCTGGTTGTACTGCAGGTCCAGCCGTCTGAGCTGCCCCAGGCGGTGGAAGTCGAAGGCCGTGATGTTGGTTATGAAGTTGCCGCCGAGGCTGTAGGTGAGCACGTCCTGGGGGCTCGGCAGCGAGCTGGTCTTGGGCACTGCGCGGAGCCCCCTATTGGTGCACAGGAGGTGCTGGGGGTGCTGGCAGTCGCACCGCTCTGGGCACACGGGCTGGGCCCGCGGCGGGAGCGCGAGGCAGCCGTACACCACGAGTAGGAAGCGCACGGCGCGGGCAGCCTCCATCGCCGCCCGTCCTGCGTGCTGCGGCCGGATCGTCCTCTTGGCCCGCCTGCTCTATGTCTCCTCTGCATTCCCCTTGGCCTGGCCAGAGTCGCTAAATGGCCTCTTTCGGACTCCGCAGCGCGGTCCAGCCCCTCCTCCGCCCTTTGTCCGGTGGCTGGCCCGGGTCTCTGCAGGCGGGTTCCCCCAGCCAAGTCAGGCGGCGCGGGGCGCTCCGGGAGCTCCGGGTGCTACTTGTTGCATTTCTGCACAAAACTGTTTCTCCGGGTGTGCGTCGGGGGGCGGAGGGAGGGAGGGAGTCAGACCTGAGCTTTTTGTTTGCAGCTGAGTCCGGAGAGCTGGATTCCCTGGCACGGATTCTCCCCGCCGAGCGGATTCCCCAGCTGCAGGCGGGAGCCCTTCCAAGAGCTCCTCGGGGCGCGGCTTGGCTGCTGTGCCCCGGCGGCTCCGGCCCCCGCAGCTCGCGCCTCCTGGCTCTCGGTCCCGGACCAGGAGCGCGGCCTCGGTGGAACAGCCGGGGGAGGAGCCGGGGGTGCGCAGGCTGCGTCCGGAAGGGACCCAAGTCGGCGAGTGGCGGGCAAACCGGGCGGAAATTCGTTCTTCCCACACTCTGCCCCCCGGGGATGCAGGCGGAGAAAGAGGAGACGGCGGAGGGAGGACAGACCCCGACAGGGGGAGGAGGAAACGCTAAGTGGCTCCGCGTCTGGTCAGCCCAAGCCGGGGACGCCGAGTGAGAAAAGTAGGGATTAAAAACAGCTGTACGGGTCGGCCCTGGACGCAGGGCTGGGGGCGGGGGTGGATTACCCGGCCAACAAACGGAATTTGCAGACAGAGACCTTTTTATTTTAGATGAGTACACCAGGCATTTCGGAGCATTGGGAGCACGGATGCTCTTACTCGTTTTTAAGTCCCTTGCTCTTCCAGGTGCCACCCTGCGGGAAGTTCAGGCAGCACGGACTGCGCAAACATTCTGTAAGACGTTTAGGGCAGCACCCCGTTGGCTACAAAGAGCTGTCGGTGGGCTAGAAGAGGCCAGGTCAGCCCCTTCTGAATGTTGGGTGTTTGGATTTTTGACGTGGCTGTCCAGGTAGCCCAGGAGAGGCATCGCCTCCTTTAGGGATCTGAACCGAGTATTCGCTTGGCCCTGCTGTAGGTAAGAGCCTGGAGAGTCTCAGAACTGGTTCTACCGCTGTGGAAGTGTTTCTGTCAGATTTTGGTGATTTAGTCCCATTAATCCTCCTCCAGTCGTACAGGCCTTGGGGTAGGCTCTGCACGTGTGCATATATATGTATAAAACCTTCATTGACCCTCTGGTAACTGCTGC